CTAATACCAACATTTCGCATAGATGGTTATTTGAATCTACTGTGAGTACAAATGTTGTAGGCTTTATGACATCTTGAAAAAATTTGATATTTTGCAATTGAATAAACTTTAATGAACTTTTACATCCCGCCGCATTGCGCGGGTATACAACTAGTATATATATATATATATATATATATATATATATATATATATATTTAGAGAAATAGAGAGAGACAGAAAAAAAAACTTGGGATCATATGAGAAAAGTTTGTTTTCGTGAGACATAATTTTTATATTTGAAACTTCAGTGTTTTTTCTGTGAAGATTCGACTTTTTTTTACCTTCAGTATTTTGTTGTGATGTTTCAAGGGTAAAAATCGTTTCTTAGGTGAAGCAACTATATAACACAATGCTTATAAATAAAAAAGTGGAATATTGAAAAGTAAAGAAAAAGGGGTGGTGGCGCAGTTGGCTAGCGCGTAGGTCTCATAGCAATTACTGAGTTATCCCGAGGTCGAGAGTTCGAGCCTCTCTCACCCCATTTCTATTTTTCTGTGTGTTTTGTTTATTTAATAGATAACACATCATGTGCAAGCCACGTGACTCGACTAGACTACTCTCCTATTAACTAATGGTGTTTAGGGTTCTAAACGAAGTAAACGCTTCGTTATATTTTCGTTTATTTAATAAATGAATATGAACATGTTTTTTTATTTGTTTAATTAAATGAATTGTGGTCTCGTTCAATCATTTATGTTCATGAACATTCATTTATTTATGTTTTCATTTATGTTTGTTTACATATATATATATAGAGAGAGAGAGAGAGAGAGATTAGTTATTATGCAACCAATACAACTCATCTCAACCGTCTATTTATGTTTGTTTACATATATATATATATATATATATATATATATGTATATATATAGAGAGAGATAGAGAGAGGGAGAGATATTAGTTATTATGCAACACTTTACATTTGTACAACCAATACAACTTATCTCAATCGTTCATTTAATTTGATAAATATGTGATTTGGTAGTTGTTGAATGATTAAGTGGTTAGAATGATTAAGAGACTCTCATAATATAGTGTAAAATGAAATATAATTGTTTACAATGAAATTAAGATGTTGAATGGTTAAGGGAGACCCAAGATGTAAAATAATTCAGAGGATTTTAGAACCATTAAGAGATATTTTTTTTTGTTAAACAAAATTTATCTTTTAACGATTCAGATGTTGCATCTTAATGAAATTATTAAGAGGTAAACAAAACAATCCCTAAAAATATCTTTAACATTATAATAATAATAAAATAATACATGTATTTATTATTAGATTATGTTATTAAAATATAATAATTACGATATATAATTACTTTTTATAATCAATAAGTAATTATCACTTGAATTTTAAAATAATTTATTTAATG